CGTAGGCCCCTGAATTTCGTAAGCCTAGGCACGTGCCTAGTGTGCCCATAGGTTAATCCGGCCCTGACCAGCACCCATGAGTTAATACATGGAACAAAAATACCCAAATAGCTTCTTAAAGCAGACAAGTCAATCATTTAAATTTGTTTTTAAAGGTGACCTTACATCTTTTATGAACACATTAGAATAAGCCAAACTAGTAAGAAGAAAAATACAGTCAAACTCCGCTATAGTGAATCTTCAAGGGACCAGAATTTCGGTTCACTATATCCGTTTTGCAAGCAATTTTAACTAATAGTTCCACCCTTTTTATGACACATTATTTAAATAAATAACCAATAAAATGAGATACAAAAATGACTGAAAAATAATACGTAGTATCAAAAAATGTGTTGACTTATATTTTGTATGACTCTTCACTTTGCGGACAATTGTTGTTGTTGTTGTTTGTACTTTACGTCGCACTAGAGCTGCACAATGGGCTATTGGCGACGGTCTGGGAAACATCCCGGAGGATGATCCGAAGACATGCCATCACAATTTTGATCCTCTGCGGAAGGGATGGCACCCCTGCTTCGGTAGCCCGACGACCTGCGCGCGAAGTCGAGCACTTTACGGTAGCACAGTTTAACGAGGACCAATACCGCACACCCTCGGTCCCTACGCAGACTGATCCAAGTGGTCACCCACCCGCACACTGACCGTAGCCAGTGATGCTTGACTTCGGTGATCTGCTGGGAACCGTGTCTTAACGATCAGTCCACTGCGGGACCACTTTGCGGACAAAAAAAAATTAGTAATCCTTAGCTGATGCACAATCCTCAACACCAGATATGGAAACGCTTCCCGACTCTCAGATAATTTTTCCAGAATTTATGTTATTCCGCTTTTTAAAACCTGTCTAACCAGCCATTCGAACTCATAAAAGTCTCACTTTGCAAATTCATCGGCTTTGACTTGAAGCATTTGTCCAGACAATTGCGGCATCTTTGAACCCATTCAATAATGAAACGAACAAGAAAAAATGCTTGTTGCTACATTCCATGCAATAGATGGATTTAAAAATCGTTTATTTTGAAGTAGAAATTTCAAAATTATTACAAAAATGGGGGAAAAACAGTCGAAGACAGAAAAAGTTCATTCACTCCTCTCTTTTTTTAACTCACTATATCCACAAAAAATAGCATTATATGTGTAGCAAGGCACAGGTGCGAATATTTCGTTCTCTATATCCGGGAGTTCACTGTAGAGGGGTTGGACTGTAATAATAAGCGGGAAAAGATATAATAAATGCGCATTTTGACAAAATATTGAGGGCAACCCCCCTCCCCCCACGTTACGCCTATGAATCACAGTTCATATGTCTCTACTCATCTCATGAAAAAAGTATCTTCGTAAAATATAAATTAATGTGAGCAAATTTTATGTTAAGTCATAATGTCTCTTAAAATACTTGACCATCATCAACTTTTAGTATTTAAAATTAGTTGAGGTATGAATGAAGTAATTGAAAGAGTTTAAAATTCCTCAACACTATGTGGCAACAAACTTTAAAATGATTATGTCTGATTCGCAGGCCTGAATAAAGAACATCAGAGGCCCTAAGCACTTGAAATAAACTGCTGTTTGTAGAAAATGCAACACCATGAAAGAATCATCAGAATCAAATGAAATTTAATGCAGAAACGACTTGTACTGATACAAATAAATGATGAAATTTTCAAAACAAAAGAAACAAATTAAGCGTCCGAAATCAGTATTTGGTGCAGCCACCACGCGCTGCAATAAGTGCTGCTATACGACGTGGCATGGAGTCAAACAGATGTTGAATATCTGCTTGAGGAAGAGAATTCCATATCGCTTGTATGCGCAACCAAAGTTCGTCTTTGGAAACTGCAGGACGCGGATCACGAGTGAGACGCCGACCAACCATATCCCACACGTGCTCAATAGGCGACATATCCGGCGAATAAGCAGGCCAAGGAAGAAGTTGCATGCGTTGTGCTGAACAGAAGTCTCTA